TCTTCTTCTTCCTCAATCCATCACCTACCTCCAAGCTCCATTTTTTCTCATCTTCAATCTTCAACCTCCATTTTTTTCCTCATCTTCAATCTCTAACCTCCATTTTTTTTTCCTCATCTTTAACCTTCAACATCCATTTTTTCTCATCTCTAACCTCCAAGCTCCATTTTTTCATTTCCAGCCTCCATTTTTTCTTCACCTCCAACCTTTAACCTCTATTTTTTTCATCTTCAATCTCTATCTATAATCTCCATTTTCAACCTCCAACCTCCATCTTTAACCTCCAATTTCAACCTCTAACCTATATCTCAAACCTCTGTATTTAACCGCCATCTCCAACCTCTAATATTTATCTCTAACCTCCGTCTTCAACATTCATCTTCAAATTCAATATTCAACCTCTAACCTCTATCTCAAACATCCATCTTTAACCTCCATTTCCAACCTCCAACCTCAATCTCCAAACTCCATTTTTAATCTCCAACCTAGTTTTCTACATATTGAAGCACACCTTCAACAAATGTCATGATGTTTCCTTCTTCAAGAGAAACAAAATAGAGGGACGGAAAAATTTACATGGAAGAAAAAGATACAGGGATGAAAAAACAAGATAGATGGAGAATAGAGAGAGGGACGAAATTTTTTACATGAACTAAATATAAAAACTCGCATACCTACTAGGACAAGTTAATTATTTAAGCTTAAATGTATACATAAGCTTAATTGCATTATAGGGTTAAATATGTTTCATGTCCCTATAAATATAGGATTTTTCACTTTTAGTCCCTCATAAAAAGTTTTATTAAAGAATCAACCTCCTAATATTTTTCGTTCACACTTTTGGTCTCTAACAATAGATCTGTCTAAAAGAAAGTGATGTGGCATTTCTACGTGGACATTTTTATGACTGGGAATACACATGGCGATGCTAGTGTGGAAAAAATGGTTACACTGATTCAAAATGACCTTTTATCACCATTTAATAGGATTTATATTAATAAAATTTATAGCGACGAAAATTGTGTCGCTAAATCCGTCGCTAACATGAACATCTTGTGAAAACCCAAAAACCGTAGCTAATTTGTAGCTAATTCGTAGTTAATCTCTAGCTCATTCAAACATATCATTCTTATGACCTAGACTTTTTTATGATATTTTGTATAAACGCTTATCACATTATACAAATCTCTCTCATAATTTTTGTTGTTGACTTGAGATGATTAAATTTGATTTTTTAAGTGCTGATTTTCCATGAAAGAAAACAATGCAAACGTTGGCATACATTGAATTTTAAGATAATCTTTTTTGAGGGGCTTATATCATAACACATCTAAATGATTTGAAAAGTTTCTTTACATTCCGAATAGTTCTCGAAATTTTATAATTTTTTGATCGAATTATATATAACGTTTACTTTTTTCAAGAGACGAACAACTCAAAATAAATCAAAATGCCATAAAGATTTTTAGATCATTTCTATGTATTATGTTATAAGTTTGTGCAAAAGTTTAGCCCAAAATTCATTCATATAACCAAGTTAGTGTTGTTTTTGTTTCATGAAAAATCGATGATTAAAAAACTCTAATTTAATTAAACTCACGTAAAAAAAAATTTGTGGGAGAGATACATATAATGTGATACACAAACATGCAAAAACCTATGAAACAAAATTAAAATATGTCACCCTTTTTACAACCAATAGGGTTAAATATGTTGTTTGGTCTCTTGAAAAAAACATATTTATATGTATTTCGATAAAAAAAAATCAAAACTAATAGAGAATTAATCAGAGTGAAATGAAAATTTTATGATCTTTTAAATGTGTTATGATACAAGTCCCTGAAAAATATTAGCTTAAAATTCAATAATAGGTCAACGTTTGTGATGTTTTCATTTCATGGAAAATTGACGCTTAAAAATACAAATATAAATCATTTTAAGTTAAACAAATTTTTGTGAGAGAGATCCTTACAATGTGATAAACTTTCATGCAGAAAATCATGAAAAAAAATTCTAAGTCATAAGAATGATGTGTTTGAATTAACTACGAATTACCTGTAGATTAGCTACGATTTTGTATGATATTCATGTTAGCGACATAACTTTTGTTTCTATAAATATTATTAGATGGTGACAACATTCAATGTGACATCCATGTCTGTATTTTTGCCACATTGACATTGCTATGTGTATGCTCCAGTCATTAAAAAGTCCATGTGGCAATGTCACTTCACCTTTTGTTAGATCTGTCTAACGCCAAGGACAAAATATGTGGATAGCAAATATTAGAAGCATGATTCTTTAACGAGATTTTTTTGAGGGACTAAAAGTGAAAATGCATATATTTAGAGGGACTAAAAACATATTTAACCCTTGTATTGTATTTGAATGGAATTCTATTTGAAGTACTTTGTCTTTAATATTGTATATCACAACAAATTTGCATAATTATATCCAACATAAACTAAAGATTTATAATGTTCAATTTGAGAAGAAAACTAATCACTTATTGCTAAAGGACTCTATGAAAGTACTGTTACGAATGAACAAACAAAAAATTAGCAATCATAACCTACGATAGAAGGAGAAAAACAAACTTATATGTCATTGCTACCTTCAAGTTCTTTTCATGATTATAAAAAAGAGGTTGAAGATAGAGATTGGAGATAAAAGTTGGAGATAGGGTTGAAGATTGAAGATGGAGGTTGAAGATGGAGATTGAAGATAGATATTGGAGGTTGAAGATAAAGATTGAAGATAAAGGCTAGAGGTTGGAGATGAAGGTTGAAGGTGGAGGTTGGAGATAGAGGTTGGAGATTGAAGATGAAGGTTAGAGATAGAGGTTGTAGGTTGAAGATGGAGATTGGAGATAGAAAAAATGGAGGTTGAAGGTTGGAGATGAAGAAAAAACAGAGGATGTAAATGAAAAAAATGGAGTTTGGAGATGAAGAAAAATGAAGGAGGATGGAAATTAAAAAAATGGAGGTTGTGTGGTGTCAAGGTCTCTTGAATCCTTGACATTTGGTTCATTGACACTTCCACCACTTTTCAAACTCCCGAGCAAGTGATATTAGAGTCTGATTAGCTCGGTGGAAGAGCAAAAATAAATCCTAGTGTGGATCAAGGCCTGAGCAGACCTTAGGGGTAGGCCACCAAGGCTATATTGCCTAGGGCCTCACATTTATATATATATATATATATATATATATATATATATATATATATATATATATATATATATATATATATATATATATATATATATATATATATATATATATATATATATATATATAATTTTACTCAATAATTTTTTATTTGTAAAAGTAATTAAATTATGTTATATATCAATTAAATAATAACATTTATTTAGAATATATAATAATATGAATTGTTTGATTTATTAACTTAAAAATCACATGTATAAATAATAAGTTTTGAATTTTTTTTAACATAGTAGGAGACTTGATATTTATCTTTTATATTATTTTTTAATTATGATTTTTAAATAACCAAAAGAGTGTTTAGATGATTTAATTTTATTATCAATTAAAATAAAATATTAAATAAAATGGACTATAATAATTTAATAGTTTTGCATCCTAAAACATCTAAAATATATTAATTTAAAAAAATATATTTTTAATATATTTAAAAAATTTATTTTTAAATTTTGCTTAGGCCTTAAGATGTGTTGAGCCGGCCCTGGTCAAGGCTAGAGATGTAGGTGATTCACACTTATGAGGAGATTTGTGGGTTTCAAGTGTAAAAATATTAAAGTCCCGCATTGAATAGGAATAGAAGAAATATTGAGTTTATAAGATAGGTGACCCACAACCTCATTGTCTTAAGGTTTTGGGTATATATGTGGCTTCAAGGCCTGATAGATTCTGGACATTTGGTCTATTGATGCTTCTGACGCTCTCCGAACTTTTCAACTTGGAGGTTAAAGATGACGCTCTCCGAACTTTTCAACTTGGAGGTTAAAGATGAAGGGAAAAAAATAGAGCTTGAAAATTGGAGATGGATTGAAGAAGAAGAATATGTATTTGAAAATTACGGCATTTTCATGTAATTTTCATGTAAGTTTCTTTGTAATGACAAATTCATGTTACAGACTAAAGCCAAATAAATATATTTAAATTATATAATTAATATAATATATATAAATTTGGGAGTTTTTATTAATTCATTTTCAATAGTATAAATTATCAACTTATAAATATAAATTTATTAAACATTATTAAAATCTTGTTAATTTAGACCAACCAAAGATTTGTAGTTGCAAGTTATCAAATTCTATGATAATTTATTCAAACTCACCTTTTTAATAAAAACTATTAAAATTTAATATACATTACAGTATGAATTATTAATTTAATTAAATATTTTATGGTAAATTTTTAGGTACCTGTAATTTTTAGTTGGATACGATAGCATAAACGGCTTTCCAAAACGTTGAATAAAGATGGATAGATACTCATCCAAACTCTAATATTTTAGATAAGATTTGCTACTACTTTTAAATTAAATTTTAATATTATTTTATTTATTATATTCATATTATTTTTAATATATAGAGAAAGTTATAACCATTAAAAAATTAGCATACATGTATAATTTTGAATTCAAAATATAATATTAATAAAGATAAGAATGAATTGAATATGATTATTTTTAATATATTAAGAAAGTTAATTGAATATAATTATTATTTTTAGATTTTATATAAATCAAAAAGTAAATTTATCAAACTATCTTTATCACTATTTAATAAAATTAGCTATCAACATTAAATTTTTTAAATTAAATTAAAAATATATTAAAAGTATCAATATTAAATAATTAAAATTTTTGACTAAGATTCAATTCTCTATTATTTCTTTTACGATTATACCATTTTTTCGAAAGCTAATAAAATAAAATCAAAACTTCATCCAATGTAACCATTTCTTCTTATATTTCTCTTAGTTTTCAAACATAACCTCATAAAAATATTAATGGAGGAAGAGCGTTACGAAATATTGAAGGATATTGGTTCAGGGAATTTTGGTGTGGCTAAGTTGGCCAAACACATCAACACAGGAGAGCTTGTTGCTATCAAATACATTGAAAGAGGATATAAGGTATTCAAAATTTAATAAATTCAACTATTTATTAACTTTAATTATGATTAGGTTACGTTACTAGATTTCGTGATATGTGTAGATTAATGAGAATGTTCAGAGAGAGATAATTAACCATCAAAGTTTAATGCATCCAAATATCATCAAGTTCAAAGAGGTAACTAATTAGAGTTTTTTTCTTCTAGATATTGGTTAGGGTTACACAATATTCTTTTGAGTCACAATTATGTTATTATTTGATGCAGGTATTTGTGACACCAACTCATTTGGCTATTGTTCTTGAGTATGCTGCTGGTGGTGAGCTTTTTGATAGGATATATTCCGCTGGTCGATTCAGTGAAGACGAGGTTCGAAGTTTTTTATACTTACTTTTATATATATATATATATATATATATATATATATATATATATATATATATATATATATATATATATATATATATATATATATATATATATATATATATATATATATATATATATATATATATATATATATATATATATATATATATATATATATTACTTTAAAATGTAATATAAAAAAATTAAAAGTTATTGTAATTTTAATTTTGAATAAGATATATAGAGAATGATTTTCTTTTTTGTTGATGCATTTTATATACTACAGGCAAGATATTTCTTCCAGCAACTAATATCTGGAGTTAGCTACTGTCACTCTATGGTATTTGTATATATATGAGATCATAGTTTTTTTTTTTTTTTTAATTTTAATTGTAATAGTTTTGTTTTAGGTGATATAATCTTATCTTATACATTTTATTGCAGCAAATTTGTCACAGAGACTTGAAATTGGAAAACATTTTATTGGATGGAAATCCAGCACCTCGACTTAAGATATGCGACTTTGGTTTTTCCAAGGTTAATAATATAGAATATATATCTTAAAATAATTTTTTAATAAATTAAATTTTTTCACATATATTTAATTTGATTTACAATTGCAGTCTGCTTTACTCCATTCTCAACCCAAATCAATGGTTGGAACACCTGCATACGTTGCACCTGAGGTTTTGTCACGAAAGGAGTATGATGGAAAGGTATTTTGAATTTTTATTAAATTAGTCTTATTAAAGTGTTGAAAATAGTGTACAGAGTAATAATTATATGACACAATTGAGAAAATAGTAATTATTACTACATTAAACAGTGAGAACGACAGTTAATTTGAAATAAAATTTTTTCTCTAAAACGACAGTCATTTTAAAACGGAGAAAATAATATTTTAAGTTTTTGTTCTTTACTCATAACTCTTCGAATTTCGTTAGTTTTTTTTTTCTTATTAAGATTTTATTTTCTCTAAACACTTATTTCAAGATAACATTTAAATTCAAAGTATATTATACACTATAATAAGATTTTAGAAATATACGTTTACAAATTTTTAATTATATGTAGATTGCAGATATATGGTCATGTGGTGTAACTCTTTATGTCATGTTAGTTGGATCATACCCATTTGAAGAACCAGATGATCCTAGAAATTTTAGAAAAATTATTACGGTGAGATATTGCCTTTAATAAAAAGAAGTTCCATTATGAATAAGTAATATCTTTTATTTGTTGCAGAAGATTGATTTTTGATTTGTTTGTAGAAAATAATGAATGTTGAATATTCCATACCAGACTATGTACATATATCTTCAGACTGTAGGCAATTTTTGTCTCGTATTTTTGTTGCCAATCCAGATAAGGTATAAATATATTTTAACTTATGAATGTTAAAAGAAAATGTTAGATTAATTGAACTAATTATTATTTATTTTATTTATTAAAGAGGATTATGATGTTAGAGATAAAACAACACCCTTGGTTCCGGAAGAACATGCCTAGAGAATTGGTTGAGGGTGATAGAAAATGTTGCAAGAAAACAGAAAATGAACAAATAGCAAGACAAAGTGTGGAAGAAATCACAAAGGTCGTAAGAGAAGCAATGATTCCATGTTCATGTACATTGAATGTTGCTTATGTTGATGAGATTGAAGAGATTACAGAAGAGGTTGATGATAGTAGTAACTATGTGTGACTAATTTATATATTATTACGTGGCGTTCTACATATTTTGGACACAAAAATTATCTTGGATAAAACATAAGGTTAAGAAGAATAACAAAGGTAAGATATTTTTGTAGAATTGTTGTTTAATGTTTGTGATTGAACACCTCATATAGTTTGTGTTTTAATGAAGTTATTTTTATAGATTTTTTTTTTGCTTTGTTTGAGATTTAACCTGAACTTATGAGTTTAGTTAAACTCTAATTTAGTATTAGAGTTTGATTTTAAGATTCTTTTAACCATATTTATTATCAAGTTACCTATCATTTATATCCACGCTTCTGATGTCCAATAATAAGCAAGATGAGACATGTTAAAAGTCTTCACATTAGATAATATATGATTTGCATATATGCTTATAAATGAGTGCGAAGTTTTAACAAAGTGTGGCCAAAGAGCTTTAAAAAGTGTTGTCTTAAACAAAAGGCAACTATCGCACGGGGGACGGCTGAAAAACGTCTCATATTCCTTTAACCAATGTTTTTCACATTTCTGTAAACATTTTTTAATTGTTGTTGAAGAGGAAAAATATTGCAGTGGATTCTTATTGTTCTGGCCTGGGTCCCGGTCTGACCGAGAAGGCCCAACCCACATACACTTGGGAAAAGGCCCAAAGGAGTCTTCCTCATCTGTGTCGAGCACAAGACTCTCGTCGACCAGACACTGCCCCGTCGGGCAGAAACTTTCTCATCTGTGTCAAGCACAAGACTGCCCGTCGACCAGACACTGCCCCCGTCGGGCAGGACCTTCTCCCCTTCCGTGGGCAGGACCTTACCCTCCGCGGGCAGAACCTTCTCCCCCTCCGCGGGCAGGACATTACCCTTCGCGGGCAAGACCTTCTTACCCTCCGCGGGCAGGACCTTATCCTCCGCGGGCAGGACCTTCTCCCCCTCCACGGGTAGGACCTTACCCTCTGCGGGCAGGACATTCTCCCCTTCCGTGGGCAGGACCTTACCCTCCGCAGGCAGGACCTTCTCCCCCTCCGCGAACAGGACCTTATCCCTCCGCGGGCAGGACCTTCTCCTTGTCGGGCAGAACAACGTGTCCTTCACATGTTCTCCACGTGCCCCCCTCCGCGGGGACACGTCACCAACCAACTGCCCACCTCTAAAAGAGCAGGTCAAACCTACTTTCTGGAGATCACGGGACGGTTGGACTAGGGCGAAGACCACGTCCTGGTCTTCACTACGCCACGTAAGCCCTAGCAGTCACCTGGGTTGGGCCTGGCAATCCAGCCCAACGCAAGTGACCGTTGGCCCAGCGCTGGGGTCTCTCTATAAATACCCTCTTCCTCAAGAGGGTCAGGTAAATTCACTTCTTACCCCATTTCTGTACTTTGCTCTCACTCTGCCCAATTTCTTACTTTGGCATCAGAGTGTCTTGCAGGTACACCCTCATTTCTCCTCCTCATCACCGGTGAACAGGTAGCAGTCCAATAGTGTGTGGCCAGCCCGTGATCCCCTTCTGATCAGATCAGATCACTTATCATACAAACTAATTTTGTAGGATTTAGTTAGTCTTAAACTATAATTCAAATTTTAGGACTCATAATTTTGTTTTTGTTAGATATATTGAGAATTAAATATATGATGGTAGAACACAATGATTATATAATAATTAATAATTATGTGCTACCACTTATTAAAAATGAACTTTTGTTGTTAGTTTTCATAAATTTTAGATACTTTTTTTATTTATGAATTTTTTTATGATTTTCTTTAATACATTAAATTTTAGATGAAGATTTTTTGTTTATGTATATGATTATGTTTTGTGTTAACTAACTTAATGTGATAGATTTTTTTCTCATCCCTTTATCAATTTATTTATGTTTTTCTTTTCTTTTGGTTCTCTTTGTTTGGTGATTAAAACTTGATATGATTTGTATTCGATGCTTTTCTTGTTGCATACTTATTTCAAATAATTATTAGAATATTAATAGTAATTCATATTTATTTAGTTATACTATTTTCTTAGCCCCTAAGTTTGTTAGAGGGTATTTTAGTATTTTATCTTATTCTAGTAACCCTAGTTTTAGCTTATAAATAGGGTGACAATCATTGTAACTATTATCATGTTTTGTAGTCGTCATTCTTAATAGAATATTTCCTTTCATCATCATTTATTCACCTTGCACCAACAATTGGTATCTAGAGCTCCGGTTCAGATTCATTGGGAAACACGAGTGAACGTGAGGTCTTGTGTGTTTGATTTTGATTCTTAGATTCGTGTTGAATCTTGAACAAAATCTGATCAGAATTTTATTCTGTGGGTTGGGAAACACTGTGTGAGAAATATGAGTGTATTGTGCAAGGTGAAGATGAACGGAAACGACAACATGAACACCAAGCTTCCAGTATTTGACGGTAAAAACTGGAATCGTTGGATGATCCAAATGCGTGTACTGTTTGGTGCTCAAGATGTTTTAGATCTTGTCACTGATGGTTATGTTCCGGTAGCAGCAGATGCAACGGATGAACAGAAAAACGCGCAGAAGGAAGTAAGGAAGAAGGATCAGAAAGCATTATTCTTTATTCATCAATGTGTTGATGTAAATGTGTTTGAGAAGATTGCAGATTCAATGACAGCAAAGGCTGCGTGGGACACACTGGTTAGATGTTATGGTGGTGACACATCAGTGAAGAAGGTGAAGCTTCAGTCTTTGAGAAAGCAATATGAGAATCTCAACATGAAGAATAATGAGAAAGTTTCTGAATACATCTCCAGAGTGATTCTGATCACTAATGAGATGAAGGCGTGTGGAGAAACTCTTTATGAAGAAACAATCATGGAGAAGGTATTGAGATCCCTTACCTCTCAATTTGATTACATTGTGGTAGCAATAGAACATTCCAAAGATCTGAGTACCATGAGAATTGAAGAGCTGCAGAGCAGTTTAGAAGCGCAAGAGTTGCGTTTGACTGAGAGAACTTCTGAAAGGGAAGTAGAGCAGCAGGCTCTGAAAGCAACTTCTGATAGGAGGTATCAGAAGCAGTCAGAAGTCAGGAGAAGATCTGATGGTGGTCAGAAGTCAGAAAGATCAACCTCTGATAGACAAAAGAATGCTCAGAAGGGAAAAGAGAAGTATGACAAGAAGAAGATCCAATGTTACTGTTGTAAGAAGTTTGGTCACTTTGCTAGAGATTGTTGGTCAAACAAGGAGAGAAAATCAGAAGAAGAAAATATAGCCAAAAGTTCTGATGACGAATCTGTGCTATTGATGGCCTCTGAATCTGATGATCTGACAGACTGGTGGTATATGGACACTGGCTGTTCAAATCATCTTACTGGAAACAAGAAATGGCTGGTTGACTTTGTCTCTGAAAAGAGAACAAATATCAGATGTGCTGATGACAAATATCTTAATGCAGAAGGTATGGGAAATGTCAGAGTGATTCTGAACAATGGGAAAACAGCATTGATTCAGAACGTGTGGTATGTACCTGGCATCAGAAGCAATCTGATGAGTGTGGGACAATTAATTGAGAAAGGTTTTTCAGTTACCATGAAGGACAATCTTCTGAAGCTGTATGACTGCAATCAGAAGTTGATTATGGAGTCAGAACAGGGAAGGAATAGAACATTCAAGGTGAATGTCAAAACTGCAGACTCAGAATGTCTTAGTGCAACATGTGCTGAGAAGGAGAGTGAGCTGTGGCACAGAAGATTTGGTCATTTGAATTTCAGAAGCTTAAAACATCTGAATTCAAAGAAGCTGGTACATGGAATTCCTGCAATTAAGAAGCCTGAAAAGTCATGCAAAGTTTGCATGGAAGGAAAACAACCACGTTTGCCATTTGCGTCAGAAGTTGCTCCAAGAGCAAAACATGCCTTGGGAGTTGTACATTCTGATGTGTGTGGTCCATTTCCAGTAGCATCAATTGGAGGGAATAAATACTTTGTGTTATTTGTTGATGAATTCACAAGAATGACATGGGTATCTCTTATTAAGTTCAAACACGAGGTGTTTGATGAATTCAAGAAATTCAGAATGAAGGCTGAGAATCAGAGTGGTCAGAAGTTGAAGATTCTTAGAACTGATGGTGGAGGTGAGTATAACTCCAAAGAGTTCCAGAAGTTCTGTGAGGAGAATGGAATTGAGCATGAGGTTACTGCTCCTTATACCCCTCAACACAATGGTCTTACTGAAAGAAGAAACCGTACTTTGCTTGATATGGTGAGAAGCATGCTAAAAGAGAAGAAGCTTCCTCAGAAGCTCTGGGGAGAAGCTGTTGCCACTGCAACGTATGTACTCAACAGATGTCCTACGAAGAAGTTGAAGGAAATAGTTCCTATGCAGAAGTGGACTGGAGACAAGCAAAGTGTTAGTCATCTGAAGGTGTTTGGTTCTGTTTGCTATAAACATGTTCCAGAAGCCAGAAGACAGAAGCTGGAGGATAGAAGCAAAGTGATGATTCTGATAGGGTACCACAGTACAGGTGCATACAAGCTCTATTGTCCAGAAACCAATAAAATTGAATTCAGCAGAGATGTGATTGTGAAGGAATCAGAAGTTTGGAATTGGGATAAGTCTCAATCTGATTCTGATGTTATCTGAAGAAAGGTCAGAGTTAAGAATTTTTGAAGTTGAAGTAAACTCTGACGTTGATTCTGACTCTGATAGTGATTCTGACTCTGGAGAAGACTCAGAGGATGAAGGTGACTCTGATGATCCAGACTCTGATGGTAATCCAGATTCTGGTGGAAATTCAGACTCTGAAGATGGCCAAAACTCTGAAAATATGCCAGATCTTGAAGATGGTCAAAGCTCTAGAGGAAGTCAACCATCTGAAGCTGGAAACTCTGAAGCTCAAGACTCTGAACAAGTTCAGAGACCACAAAGAATCAGAAGCGTTCCCAGAAGATTTGCAGAATTTGACATGCTGCAAGACACTGAAGTAGACTCTGAAGGAGAAGTTATTCAGTGTGCCATGTTAGTAGACTCTGAACCTATAAGTACAGAGGAGGCTC